ATATATATATACTAGAAGGCAAATTTTATGCATTTGCTTTACAATACGAATGAAAATAACAAAAAATTTAAAATATTTTGCTACATATAGTAAAAAATAATAAAAAAATATTACCCAAGAAGAAAAACTAAACCTTTGTAACGAAAAGAAAATCTTTAAGTTGAACAAGTTCCATCTTCTATTATTTTTATGCTTATTTGTTTCGTTTGGTGTATTTTCAGTCTACATGCCAGCATTTTAAATTTTGCAAATATGCCTATAAGTCATATAATCAATGAATCGAAATTATTGTTTTTGCAAAATAGGGTAATCTTTGAGGAGTCATGAAGTTCTCAAGGCTGGCCCCAGTCGTGGTCTTGCTGGTACTACTAGGTTGCATTCTAACAGCGGCCAATAAACACAAGACCAAAATCCCAAAGGCAAGTCGGTCATAAATGAAAAGATATAGCTATTTCAAAAAAGGTTGTCGGGTAAAATGGCGATTGTCAATGGTCGAACGGCGATTGCACGACCGAAAGTAGTCATGGGTTTTGCTAGTTGAAAGGCAGTAACAACTTAATATTTGTAATGTAAGGTGGTCTGTGGTAAAGATTGGCTCCATTTAGTCACCATTTCTATGTAAGGTGAATCCAATAAGTGAAATTCTGTATATCAAAATAGTGCACCATAGTCTCTTTCGGTCGTGCAATCTCCCTTCGACAATTGCCGTTCACCGTTCTCCCCGACAACGTTTTTTTGAAATAGCTGTATATAAAACTAATCATCAAATTATCACAAGTGTCCATACCTTTTTGCCGGTCTTTGATTTCACATCCCTCTCTTTGTCCTCGTCATTTCCTGCCTTAATTTGTGCTATTATCTTGATTCTCTTTTCGTCGTCGAATTTCCCCATCGATCCGTTATTATTTTTAATATAAAATTCGTTTTAAGGCTGATCTAAACTCATTCATAGCCTTCCCAAAAGACTAATCAACAGCATGCGCCAATTTCTATTTTCCTTTGATATTTTCTTCTATATTTTTTTTACTCAGTATTCTTGCCCTTTCTGTCATTTTATGGCAACACCTCATCACCAAGATTGCTGTTTAATTGGCTTGTAAAAAGGCTGACTCTCAAGGGATGCTCTTGAAATGTGTAATATTTTGCACTCTTATTTAGCCATATCATTAATTTTATATCCTTGACATTTTAGGTGTAGCTCCACAAATAATACAAGTGCAACAACGACAAGTACTTTAAGTGAAGCTTAGAAATTTCATGTCAGATCAAGCTATAGAAACAGCTGCAAGAGATTCTAATCTTCATATCTTATAGTTGTTGTAGCTGGCATCATGCAAATGTAAGAAAGCTGATATATCACCAATAAAAGATTCTGAACATTATAAAAGCAGTTTTTGGATGTTCAATCTGATTACGAATTTTGCCCCTCACAAAAATCGCATAATCCCGCCATTTTTATTTTTCTCAAGTTTTCCATCCCATCCCCAGCTTCTGTTGTTTTTGCATGCATTTCTAACTCCGATTTCTGGATTCCAATGCATTTTCCCAGTTATTTCATTGCATTTTCCCAGCGCAAGCACAATAGTCACATCATTCAATATACACCGAAGCCGCTCCAATGAAATTGCGAAGCAGTACCGATGAACGGCCGACCCATTTCCGACAAAACACCGGCACAGTTCCGAAGAAAAACTGACGCAGCTAACACATGCAGGTCGATCAACACTTTTTAAAGCTTTTGATTTTTTATGCCTTGCATTTCTGAGAAACAATTACTAAATGTTAATATTTTGTTTCGATAAATCATTCAACATTCTAAAATATTTACGATACTACGCGCGCTGTGATTGGTCGAAAACCATGTTTGATTACAGTATCAAAACACGCTCGC